TGTCACAAAAACTCCGAGTTTCACGTCATGTTGTCTTTTGGGAACACACTATGTTCTCATCATTGTCAAACTTCAAAGTGTCATCCTCTCATCAAGGGGGCGTGTACAATGACCTATATATAGGTGTTTACAAAGAGAATATAGGTGTTAGAAACGGAAAAGAAGGAGAAATATCTGAAGAAATGTGTATTGCTTTCTTGAATTATACTGTATGTACAATGACCTATATATAGGTGTTTACAAAGAGAATATTTTAAGATATAAAGTATATAAAGAGAATATTCTAAAGTATAAAATATTTACAATAATTCTAAATATAATTATATTCACATCTTAACATCTCCCCTCAAACTCAAGGTGGTTGAGATGAAATCAACTTGAGTTTAGAAAGAAGAGTACGAAAGCGTCTAGGAAAATGAGCCTTGGTAAAAAGATCTGCTGGTTGATCAGCGGAGCCTTGATAATGAACCTTTCTAATATTTATAATTTAAAATTTTTAATACATGTTTAATTAAGAATTCGTTTGCCATAGCAGATTGGGATAGCAATTAATAATTTTATCTAAATTACTAAAAATAAATACTTAATAAATTTATTTATTTTAAAATTATTATAAATTAAATATTTAATAAAATATTTTATTTAACCATTTGAGATTAACCAACAGTGAGAAAAGCAGCAATTGCCACTACACTGGAATTTTCAGTCTTAATAGGCGTTGACCCAGTTGACGGAAGGGACAAAGGGAAACAAACCTCTCCTGCAGTCCTCACCTATGTCTCTCGTTCCCTCAATCTCGACGCCGCGCGGTGATGGTCATCGGGTCCGACCTTGGGAAAGTGAAGGGTAATCCCTTGCTTCCTCCTTGTGCACCCAAGGGAGTGAACCATGAAGATTTCTTTAGAGAATGTCGACCACCTGCTTGTTATTTTGTCGCAAAGGACTATGGTCATCTGGATGTGTTGGATGATGATACTAAAGGGATTAGAGGGATAGTTAGTTACTGTTTGTGCAAGAATGGGAAGTCAACAGAGTCGATGAGGAAATTTGCGGGAGGAATTGTTGTTGCTTTCATGAAAGTGATTTGATTGCTGTAAGAGATGGGGTTGAAACTCCACCTGTGGAGCTCCAAACTATTGAATTTCTTCCGTGATGCTTATATAATGCCAGTTCTGAGGTAGCTATTCAGCGTGGAAGATTGTTAGATATGGCCAATGTTGCAGGGATTCGTGAGCGTTAGAAGAGCTCAATTGAATTCGTGGAAGCTTATGTTTGTTTTTATAAATGTTGTACGACTATATAAAGTGGTGTGATTGGATTGAATGGTGATGGACAGTTATCAAAGTAGAAAAATTTTATTAGATTATTAAGTTTTACTAGCAAATATTGTAATGTATAAACTACAAATTTGCACATTTATATTTACATTTCTTAGGAAAAAAAATTAAGTTATATTCCCTGTGGACTAGTGAAAACATGAGTTTCACAAATGGCCACGTTGTTGCAACTTGCAAACCACAAGGCCCAAACTCATGTTGAAATGCAACCATGTTCATAGCATTGTGGTATATCCGATGTTAATGTCGTGGCATGCTTGGTCCTTGGTTCAGCTTAGATGGTAAATTCCTTAGCCTGGGTTGAATTCACTTGAGAGTCAACTTAGGTCTAAACCTTTAAGATGTGAAACAATGATAGTAATATTTAATTACATGTTAACTCATAAGATAATTAATGTTTATTAATTAATATATTAAAATTAATCAAAAAAATTTAAAATATTATAATTAATTAATTAATTTTAAAAAATCAATATTATATAATCCTAATTTATTTTTGTGTAGCAATAACTATGTCTCATAAATCACAAATAATCAAAGCAAAGCAAATTGATCCCATAATATCAAATCAAATGGATCATAAATCACAAGTAATCAAAGCAAGCAAATTGATCCCACACTATCAAATCAAATGGATGTTGGAAGTCTATAAGGCCAATAATAACTAATACTACCACTTAGTCCACCAGCAACACCAACAAAACTTGTCGAATCAAACATCACTTCCCGAACCCCACCTCTGTGTCTCTGATGAAAGCCAGAGTTAGTGAGGAGAAGATGGGCAATCTGCCAATCTGACCATACCAACCTTTGGGATTTCAATTTATGGTCTTGGAACCTAACCCCTTGCGAAGCTGTACCCAATCTAGAAAATAATTCACAACTATTTACCTTCAAAAAATTAAAGGAGCAAAAATTGAAAAGAAGAACTAGAATTTTATTATTATTATACTATATTTGAAAAAAAAGATAAAAATGTCAGGGTCCTTGTGAAAGGAAAAGTTGAACAAGACATCATATATACGGAAATTTGGAGTGGAATTCTCTGACCATCCCTTTGATTGACGTAAAGGCCAATACAGACCCTACAAAAGAAGAATAGTAAGGCTGTCTTTCTTTTTTTTTTTCTTTTATAAAAAAAGGGGGGGGGGGGGGTTAATTTTGATTTTAGTTTTTGTTATTTTTGCTTTATTCTTCTTTACCTGGTTAAGAAAAACAACAATGGCAGATACAAACGAGAAGTATATGTTCCAATCTCTTGTGGAAAAAGACAGGAAGAAGCTAAGCTAACCCCCTCGTGTGTACTGAAAATTCACTGCGTCAGCAACCACTGTGAAAAGGCCCAACCATGACCATGACAGATATCTAGCACCAAGAAAAGAAGAGAAAGTGTTATTATTATTATTATTATTTTTAATTTCGGGATTCTGTATATTCTAATTTTAAGCATCCGAATCAAAGTATTTTTATATCTTCTCTTTGTATTTTGGTAATCTTTAGCCTCTTTGGTGATAATTTTAGCTATGTATAAATTTATGAAATTATATATGCGTAAGAGAGTGAAAACTATAAGTAGAGTTATGAAATTTTTAATTCTATTAGCCCCAGCTCCTTTAATTTATGCGCATGGGATAGCAGTAACCGCCTGCTAATTTCTTTTTCATGTATCAGCAGATGTGTGAATTCATACATTTAGGTTAACTAATTTTACAGATACCTACTAACAATGGGTAACAATTTAGTTCAACTTGAAACCCAAAAAAAAAAGGTTTTGTATTCAAAATTTTGGGTACTCAAAATTAGTAACAATAACCAAATCAAAATTTTTAGAGTATTGAAACTTTGAGCACCTAAAGGTTTTAAGTAATTAATCAATTCTAATATTGCAACCATCATATCCACAATCTCCGCCCAAAAGGGACGTGTATGATGCATTGAAATTATTTAAAACCAACTTATCTTAAAACGTAAAACTAATGCCCAAAACATATATGACTTTATTCAAACTCTCAACAGGTCTGGTGTCTCACTAAAATTTATTTTCTTATAAAATTACTCTGTTATAAATAAAATGAAAATTTCGGATCAACACTTGGATATAATATTGAACCATCAAACCATCAAACCATCTTTCCTTTTTAGCTCTTCAGAGTTCAGACTCTCCCCAAAGCGCCAAGTGTGGTGAGGGTTTCATCAGTTTGTCCACAGATAAATATTCAAACTGTCCTTTTAGATAATGGAGATAACAACTATACATGTAAGATCTCTCCCTTTCTATAAGATTTTTTGTCCGTAATGCACGGTGTCAGGTCTACTTCCTCTCGAGGAGAGTTTGGTGTCACGGAGACATTTCTTCCTCCCAATGTGAATAGGTGCCGAAAACATAGATTTTTGTCATGAGAATGTAGCGCACGATGAGACCACCAAGTCCTAGAGATAAGTAGACATTTTTTAACATACATTGAAGGGATAAATTTGAACGTGGAAACTACATTTATTCTGGTTAAAAATGTCAATCATGGAAATAATTTCTGTTTGTTCAAAAAAATGTCAATAATGGAGAGGGGTGTGTGGTGGGGTCCTTCCTATACCTATTCAATGACGTACATATACCCAGACATAATAGTGGCAAACCCTGTTGAGCTCATAGATTTTGATAGAAAATATTACGAGTTACGACGCTTTTTCAGATGAGCTTGAAAAGTAGGTTGTCCGTTGCTAGCAAACCATTTCACATGGCACAGCACCTCTGAAAATTTGATTTTGGAAAAAAAAAATGTAAATCCCTTTTCCTTGACGATTAGATGAGTGTGTGTTAAGTAAAAAAAACAATTATATTGAAATAAGAAGAAGAAATTTGCGTGTATAAGTATATTATAATAAATTAATTTTGGGATGATATTTTTTATTTATAAGTTATATTATATTAGATTGTAAAATAAAAATTTTTAAATATAATTTTAAATATTAAAATTAATTTCATCTAATAATTTATATTATGTAATTAAATATAAATTGAATTACATAATATGTTCTTATTTGAAAATTATAAGAAATTAAGAAGCTTTAATAAATAAAATGTTAAAAACAATAAAAAATTAAATATCTTTAATTATTACAAAAAATTATTAAAAATATTTAAACAATTGTACTACAGTGATTTCACTTTTCTCTTTACCTATTACCAATTATTTTAGGTTAAATTTTCCTTGTGTTCAAAGTTCACTTGTAAGTTATGGCTCTATCAAACCTACTGTTGTTGGTCCGTACGACAAAATTTCAAAATTCCTCGATTATTGTCAGTTTTTGACTTGTCAGCATGAGTGTACCTTAAAATTAAGGTTAATTGATCAAATTAATGTATGCTAAAATATCCAAAATAATCATGTCCCAACTTATAGGGGCAAACAAGCATGAGGATTGAGTAGGTACCAAGAAGCAAGAAGTATTACATATACATTAAATGAGTCCAATTAATTTAGAATTTTCTAAACTTGTAACAAGAGTGTTATTAATATATTTTTTTTATTATTAATTAATATTAAAAATTATAAAATTTGATATAAATTTCATCATCAATGTTACATTAATTATTTTAATTAATTAATTAATTATTAATTTTTTTAATAATAATTAATATAAAAAAATACATTTAATCTATATAATAAGAGTATATATCTAAAAGGTTCATTAATCTAATAATTGGGGGACGAATTTCAGAAGTTGAACAGGGACAATGACTAGGGTTAGAACCGTACAACAATTACGGACCAAAAGCGCTAAATTCTGTAGAGGAAAATGAAATAAATGCTCCGCTGTATCTATCTCTCCACAGCGAAACAGATTTACTACTATGAAAATATACATTGATGAACATGGAAAAGGTGGAAAAAGGAAGGGGAAAATAAAAAGAACTATGTGCATTCTGCATATCTAGTACTAGAAGAAAACAACACAACATTGCAATTCCCATCTCCTTTTCCTGTTTCCATGTTCATCCTCCTCAATTCCATCCCCATAATAGAAACACCATGTACATGTTTGCGGCTGTTCCTCGCTTTCTTTCTCCATTTCTATCTCCATATTTGCAAAAATCCAAGAAATTAAAAGGAATAAAGAGTAAAAAAAAAAAAAAGGATGGTAAATTAAAAGGAAAAGAAAAAAAAATCAATATTTGATTTTGATCCATACACCATTCCACACCCATTTACATTAATTCTTTCTCCCCCATTCCAATTTTAACATTCTCTATCCCATATAAATTATAATGGATATATTAAAACTAAATGGGTCTAACTAGAAATAATAAAAATCGATTTTTCAGTCATTCAGTAAGAAATTTCTTCTAATGAGTTGAAATCCATGAATGACACCGAGCAGAAGAAGGTGAAGAGAATATTAATATTGTTAAAGAAAATTTGTTTGTTAAAGAAATTTGATCTAATTACAGCCTCTGCTCCAATCTTTTGTTATAAAAAAAACTTGCAGTACAAACGCAAGTGAAAGGCAAAAGAAAAAAAAAAAATTATGATCACAGAAAGAGAAAGAGTTCCCCTTAGTGATCTCACCTAGAGTAACTTACATTCCCAAGGTTATTATATATAAACATGCTACAGCTACCAAAACAGCAACCAATTATAAGACTACTAGTATCAAAATACAAGGAAGAGAAGGGGGAATTTAGGATTTTTTTAAGTTACTGTATTGGTTTTGATCTCTCTCTATTTAGGGCATAAACAGCTTGTTGCCACACTTGCATCTCCAAGCTTCAGGGTAGTACTCCAGAGGAAAACTGACTCCTGGATGAATCGGGACGTGAACCGGTGTACACGGCGAGCAGTTGCCGCACTTGGATCTGCAGGAAGGCGGCCAAGAACCTGGCCCGACGAGCCGCTTCTGAGTCAAAATCCGGTCTAATACCGCCGAGTTGTTCTCCTTCTCCTGGAGGTGGAACCCACTATCTGCGAAACCGAGTTGCACTGAGTTAAAACACAAGAAAACAAAACAAGGACTTAAATGGGGTAAATATATCTTAATTATGGAGTTAAAAACTCAAAGACTAGGTCAAATTTCAGTATTAAGTAAGCAAATAGGAAGTTAGAACCTACAAGTTACCTAGTAGGAAGAGAGTGATGACGGAGGCGGAGGCAAACAGGAGAAAAGCGATGGCGGTGAAGGAGTGGCGGCGGTGGCGGTGGCGCAAAATGGCCATCACCAAGGAGAGGTGGCGTACGTTAGCGAATGACGGGCGGTTGTATGTTGAGGAGGGTTATTAAATGAAGGGGCCAGGGAAGATTGCTTGGGAGAGCAGGAGGTGAAAATTATTGTTATTATTGCGGGGGATGATTTGCGTAGGAGAGGAGTAGGGATGTTTTGTTTTATTGCTTCGCCGAAGGTACGTGTAGGGCCTACATTCGGGCTTGAATAATTGTTATAGATTTTTTTAAAAAAAATTATTTTACCATATGAGTTGTTATAGATTATAAAATATTGATAATTAGATAACAAATGATCACTTAATATTAGGGTTTTTAAACTCTCTTCAGTCCTTGTTTTTTTCTTTTAGGTACACTCTTCTGTCCTTGTTTTATTGTTTAAAATAATTTAAGGGTGCATTTGGGATTGTTGTGAAGTATCGTGACTGTAGTTGTGACTATACTTAACTATAATTGTATTGTATTATAATTGTGGCTGAAAGTTATTTTGGTATTTAGGTATTTATTTTTTAAAAGCATTATAAATGAAATATGATAGATTTTATTAATTATTAATTAAAATTTAAAAAATATTGTATGATATATAATTATTAAAATATATAATATTTATTATTTTTTAATAATTTAAGTTTTTAAAATTTTTTAATTATTAAAGTATTATAAATTATGATGTATTTAAATTATATGAAATTGAATTTTAATGAGTAATTTTGTAATTATATTAAATATTAGATGTTTTCTGTAAAAACCACTGCTAGAAAGCTCCAAAATGAAGTTTTTGGCTTTATACATAAAATTATTGTAAATCTGTTATGACTTTCTGTAACTTAAAGAAAAAAACAATTTGAAAAAAAATTACCAAACATAAATATATTTAAAAGTATTATATGACTACATGAAAAAACTTTCAACCGCAATCCCAAATGCACTCTAAATTGTAAAATCATAAAATTTTTTTAAAAAATATTTTATAAAATGAATTATATAATAAAAGTGTAATCTAACATATAAATTTATTAAAATATTTTTAATAAAATAATATATAAAATAATATAAAAAATAATTTTAATAAAAATATTTTAATAAATTTATAAACCATACTTTCAATATAAAATCTAAACTATAAAGTATGAATTCTTTTTTTCTTGGAAAATAGTTGTTGTAGATTTTGATATTGCTATTCTCTCTCATATATTTTTCATGCAACTACAGTTCATATAATTTGACATCACGTACGAATTTGTGTATAAGCCTTTAAATAAAATAAAAAAAGTTCAATTATAAAATTAAAATTGGTATATTTATAATAATGTTATATGGGATTATAATTTTATAATGGTAATATAGTGTTAAATAGGTAAATTAATGCTAGAATTAAGCAAGAGATTAGGTTGACTAAAAAAAAGTTATTATGATTCATGTAGTTAGAGGGTAAAGAACTGTCTAATTTTTTAGTTCGGTTTTACTCATGAACAATATGCGTGGGAGAATTTTTCTTTGTATTCCCTATAATAAAATTTCTTTTTTTTTTTATAATATATATATATATTTTCATGTGTACTTGGACTTTCGGATTCAGTGACGTTAACCACGTATAAGTGCATTCCCCACCTTTAAGGTAACTGTTCGAATCCAGTTCATTGCGAATTT